ACTAAAGCACAGCTTAAGTATATAACACCAACACTCTCCCAATTTTCCAAAATCCAAATCTCCCAAAATCATATTAAAACAAATCACATCCAAATCATTTCTCCAACTAGGGCTCGACATTAGGATATACACACAACGGAGCTCAATCGGCTTCCCGTCGGCATCAATCTTCAATTAGTCGCTAGAGAATCTCGGGATTTGCGTGCCAGAGGAGAAGTTGCGGGCCATGATCGGGAAGACTGATGCCGACGTTCACGGTTTTCCATCGGGATGGGGCGCGTTCATAACGGCGGATGAACTGAGGTCGGTGTTGGCAACGATGAGGCTGAAGTAGGTGAAGACACCGGAGGAGTAGCGGAGTATGATCGTCAGGGTCGACTTAGGTGGTGACGGGAGTGTCAACTTCGGAGACTTCCGGCAGATGATGAAGTTCGGTCGGTTCGTCAGGGTAAATTTACTTATTTATTTTCAGTAAAAAAAAATTGTTTTGATGTGCAAATTGCAATTGCCAATTGGTTGGTGTAGTTAATGGGTTTTGTCTATTGCCTCTATTTCTATTTGCGCTGAGAACTAATCTTATGTTTTTTATATGCAAATTGCTTATGGAGGTGTTTCTCGAGAGGACTAAGGTAAGGGTTGCGTATAAAGTCATTGGCCCCACAGAGAGTGGTGATGGAACAACAGCAGTGGCCAGATTTGTGACCCACTAGCCGGAGCTCCATCGTAGAGGTTGTGTCGTGCGGGATGCCGATGATTGGGTGGCCAATATATGCGCAGTAGAGGATGGACAAGGTGTTCATGGTGGAAGAGATGGGGGTGGCGCCGCCCTTAGATGGCGGGGACGACCGGTTCTTGGCAACGGCGAAGCAGGAGAAGTGGGTCATGGAGTTGATGGACTCAGAAGCAGACCCTTCTTCCTCTGTTTCTGCTTCTCCCATGAAGGGATGTTTGGATCTATCATTGCATCCTAGGTAAAAATTCGTTATTTCTCTTCATATGCCCTAATTTTTATGTATTT